AGAAATTCAAGAACAAGAAGAATCAACTCCTGAAATTGTATCTGTATTAAAAAAATCTAAAGGTCGTCCATCTCGCAGAAAAAAATAGTATAAAATTTTCTTTTAATTCATACTGTATAGTTAATAAACATTTTTTATTTTATATAATAAACTTTTATTTTATAAAAAAAAAAAAAAAAAAAATTTAAATTGATCAAATAATATATTTTAATGTTTCGTTAGTTTCTAAATAATAAATCATTAATTTTTGTTCTTTTCATTTTAGATAATTCAAAATGTTACAGTATTTTGATTTTTTTTGTTTTTCGTATTACTATATCATAAAAATAAAAAAAAAACAGCCTTATCATTATTATGTTTATATAATATTCTAAATGATATTTGTAATCAAATAATAAAAAAAAAGTTTGCATATCAAGCCCAATAATCTGTAACTTACTAAAAATGGTAAAAATAATTTCAGTTTTCAGTATGGCGTGGCGACTTAATCATTTTTAGTTTAAAATTTTTTTTAAAATGATTTTTATTATTACTATTATATGAATTTAGTTTTTTTTTTGTTATTTTTGTTATTTTTCATTTTTCCAGTTAGGCAGTAGCATTATTTTTTTTCATTTTTGCTTTTCATATTATTAATAATTATTTTATTTTGGTAAGCCTAGCCTTGATTGTTATTTTTTCTTTATGTCTTATTTATTATTCATACATTTAATTAATCTTTTTTTATTTTTTGATATTTTTCCAGTTCAAACCACTTTTGGTGAGTACTTATTTTTCATTTTTTCGTTATTAATTCTTTTTTTTAAATTGTTTGGATTCTTCGCTATGGGCCAATTTGGGTAAGTAGTTTTCATTGCTTTTTTTAATTATGATTAGTAATTCTTTTTTTTTGATCTTTTTGGATTCTTCGCTGTGAGCCGCTTTGGGTAAGTAATTTTTTTCATTTTTGTTGTTTTTTCATTATTAATTCTTTTTTTTTAGATTGTTTGGAATCTTTGCTTTAGGCCGTTTTGGGTAAGTAGATTTTATTTTGTTGTTTTTTTCATTTTTTTTTAATTTTCGTTTTTATTGTATTGTTATTTTTTTTTATCTTTTTTTAGATCAGTTTTTCGCCTGAATGGTTTCTCGCTTCAGGCCACTTTCGGTAAGTAGGAATATTATTTATTCTTTTTTTTTAGATCACGATTATACTTTAGGCCGCTTTGGGTAAGTTGATTCATTATTTTTGTATTTGGTTTATTAATTCCTTTTTCTTTCTTTAGATCTTTGGTGGTTCTTCGCTTCGGGCTACTTTGAGACCGCTTCGGGTAAGTGGGTTTTCTTTTTTTTGTTTTTCGTCATCGATTATTAATATTTTTATTTTTTAGATATTTCGGGCGGTTTTTCATTTCATGCTTATTTTCAGTAAGTGAGATTAGTTCTGCTTTCGGTAAGCGGGATTAGTTTTTTTTTGATTTTTTGATATTGATTACTAATTACTTCCTTTTTTTAGATCTTTTCAGCAGGTTTTCTTTTCACGCTTCTTTCGGGTAAGTGGGTTTTCTTTTTTTCTTTTTTTTTAGATCTTTGGGCGGGTTTTGCTTTGGGATTCTTTCGGGTAAGTGAGTATTTCTTCTTTTTTTTCATTTTTCGTCTTATCGTTTATTAATAATCTTTGTTTTTTTGATCTTTCGCTTGTGGACTGCTTCGGGTAAGTGGATTTTGTTTTCAGGTCTTTGGGCGGGTTTTTCTTCGGGTAAGTAAGTTTTCTTTTTTTTGCTTTTTCGTCCTTCGATTATTAATATTCTCTTTTTTTCTTTTTTAGATCTTTGGGCGGGTTTTGCTTCGTGATTCTTTCGGGTAAGTGAGTATTTCTTTTTTTTTCATTTTTCGTCTTATCATTTATTAATAATCTTTGTTTTTTTTGATCTTTCGCTTGTGGGTCGCTTCGGGTAAGTGGATTTTATTTTCAGGTCTTTGGGCAGGTTTTCTCTTCGGATAAGTGGGTTTTCTTTTTTTTTCACTTTTTCGTCCTTTGATTATTAATATTCTCTTTTTTTTTGATCATTGGGCGTGTTTTCACTTCAGGATTCTTTCAAGTAAGTGGGATTATTTTTTTTTTAGATTTCTGGTTTATCGGTTTGTACCGCGAGGCGATTTTTGGTAAGTTTGTCATATTATTTTTTTTAGTTCATTACATCAATTAATATTATTAATATTAAATTTTTTTTCGGTTAGACCAGTGGCGATTTTTCGTTCGATTTTATTTATGATAAAGTTTTATTTATTTAAATTTTTTTTTAAATCTCCAGTTTTCTGGTTTGGAAATACTTACAATATTTGGTAAGTTTATTTTCAGCTTTGTATTATTATTTTTGGTTATTTTATTTTTTGTTTATAAAGCAATAAAAAAAGAAGATATTGTTATTTTTTATTAAAAAATTAAAAAAAAATTTATTTATATCTCAAATTGATACTAAATTATTGTAATCAGAGCCTTAAGTACAGAAATAGCCTTTACAAGGTTTTGGGATAAGACTATTTCTCCCATGCAAGTTCTAATTCTATTTTTATTTATATATAAGTATAATTCAGCGAGATAAAACCGAATTTGTATTTATATTTTCTCTTTTAATACAATTTGCAGCAAGATAAAACTATGTTTTGTATTTAATTTCTTATATTTTTTTTCAACAATTTTTATATAGGTACAATTCAGCGAGATAAAACTGTGATTTGTATTTAATTTCTTTTTTTTTTCAAATTTTTTATATAAGTACAATTTAGCGAGATAAAACTGATTTTGTATTTATATTTTCTTTTTTAATACAATTTGCAGCGAGATAAAACTGTGATTTGTATTTAAATTTCTTATTTTTTTTATTTTTTTTAATTTAAAATAAACCATTATGACTACTGAATTAATTGGAATCAAAAAATCCAAATCTTGTTTAGTTTTTACCAAAGCAAATTCCTTGCCAAATCATTTATACCTTTTGACTGACCCTCTAATTAACAAAAAAATGAAAATAATTTCGTCCTGTGAAAATGGAAATTTAAATGAACTTTTTGTTTCTGCTTTTACTGCCACTTCTACCTCCACTTCTACTTCTACATCCACTTCTACCTCTGTCTTTACCTCTGCACCTACTTCTGCATTCTCCTCTACCTCTTCTAAATCTTTGAATAAAAATGATCAAAGATCAATCAAAAAATATAATCAAAAGGTTAAAGAATTTGATGTTGGTTTCATAATTCCTTTAAATGTTGATAATAACATCAAAGGATTACAAGATAAAATTAAAACAAATAATTCTAACATTGATAAATATTCTATACAAAATTATTTTAAAATAAATAATACAAAATATTGTTTTATTTATCAATTAATAAATAATGAATTTTATGTATTAGGATTGGTCGTAAAAAAACTTTTTTGATGAAACAAGTTTTTTTTCAGATCAAAGGAATCAATTGTTTAAAATTCTTAATACTGAATTAAATTATTTTGCAAATAATTTTAAGGATGTAATTAAGACAATTTTTCCATTAAAAATTCACGACACACATATACGATATATGGAGGTTGTACAACAATGCTAGGACATAATAAATATATGTTACCAACTAAGAATGAAAAATGTTGTCACGTAGCTGAATTTATACGTGAATACATGCAAAATCATTCAATTGATTTTATAAATATTAAAAGAAAAAGTAATATTTTATTCAACAATTTTAAAGATAATAAGAAATTTAATATTATGTCTGATATTAAACTCGAACATTTTCAAAAGGTATTAAAATCGAAAAATACCTTTGAATATTATCTTTATTTAAAAAAAATATTATTTTCGTTAATCGTGAATTTGGAATCTTTGATTAAAAATTTAATTCGATTAAATTTTCCAGAACTTTATAATGATTTTAATATCGAATTACCAGGTATTAAAACTAATTTGTCATTTTTCAAAAGTTTTGCTATAAATTTAAGCATAACGGATGAAAATGATGAATTAAATTCAATAAGACAAGGTGCTACTGATCCTCACAAAGACAAACATGATTGCAAATATGTATTTTACGTAATTGTGGTCTTTGGAAAATTTGAAGGCGGAGATTTAGTTTTGAGTGAAATTGGTATCGTAATAGAAGTAAAGTATGGATTTATAATTTTAATACGATCTGCACTTTTAGAGCATTTTAATTTAAAGGTTTTAAAAAATAGATTTTCTATAGTGTATTATTTAAAGAAATCGTTTTATAATGAAATTTAAATTTTTTACCATTAAATAAAAGATTTTAGCTATTGTTTTTTTAAATTATATATTACTAAAAAATTGATTAATAAAAATCTTGGGCTAAATTTACTATAAACCAAAATTTTTTTTTTGTCGATTACAAATCAAAAATCAAAAAATTTTGATTATACGCCAATTTTTTTAAAAATATTCAAATAAATTTAATTGTTTAATATTTTACTATTATTCACTTAGTGATTGTCTGAAAATTTTAACTTCATTTGTAATCGATAAAAAAAATATAATATTTTAGTATTATTATAATAAAAATAATAATTATAATATAAAAAAATAATATATATATGAAATAATTACTCTGTACACTTTTTTATTTTTAAAAAAAAATAAAAATTATGTCTTTTCATATATATCAACATTATATTTTTGATACAAACCTTTCATCTGAATTATCATTAAATTATCAAAATAATTCTGAAAATATGTTAAGAGAATTGCAAAATCAATTACAATCACATCAGATTACAAATTCTAGACTAATTCTTTCTCCTATTACTTCAACTTATTTACCTATTAATCCTTGGATACCAAGTGCAAAATTTTTAAATCTTCAAACTAAATTCAATTTAAATATCTTAAATCAATTCATTTATGCTGCATGTGCATTTTGTGGACGTTTAATGTATTCTGAAAAATGTGAATGGCTAAATTATGATAAAACTTTATTTTATCCTCTTTTACAAGCATATCCCGAAAAACAACCTGAATTACTATTAACATTTCATGTTAAACCTCCAAAACGTATTGCTATATGTTTATCGTGTAAAGATCCTACAAAAAGATATATATTTTCATTTCTTTATCCTATTCCAAATGAAATTCAAGCGGTACCTTTAAAAAAAAGAATATATTTATCTCCTGTATTTATGCATTGTTCCTTAGGTAGAAATTCTAACTATAGTACAATGTATTCAGAATACAAAACATTAACTGGTACAATGAATTTCTCAAAAAATATGCGTTCATTAATATTATATTCTGGAATGGTTGGTGCTTATCTTGAAGATAATAATCCAATGGCAGATACTTCTTGGCTTAATGATACATTAATCACAGCAGCTGATTGGCTAAAATTATATAATCCTTTCTTAAAAAATTATTCACGTCTTTTAAATCTTTCTGGTTCTAATACTGCAAATCCATTTCCCAGTGCTTTTTATTTACCTGATGATACATCTGCACCACCATTTTTACCTAATGATATTATAGTACCTAATGTTAATTTTAACGTTGAAATTCACAATGAAGATTATCATTATTCACACTTAATGGCAGGATTTATTAGAACACCTGATAATACATTATTACCTTTAAGTATAAATGATCCAAATCTAGAAGGATTATTATTTCCTGACTTATTTCTAAATGGAAAAGGATACTATCATAATATGAATCTTAATTTAAATGCAGAAAATATTACACGTAAAGAAACTTATTCTATATATATTAAACAACGTATACTTAATATAGATTCTCGATTTAGACTTCATCATAAATGGATGGCATGGTCATATTTACAATTGGAAAAGATTCGAAATCATCAAAATAATCAACGAATTTTAAGACAAAATCAAGCTGATAAGGTTCATCGACCTCCAACTGCAGCACAAATTATTAAAAAATCAAACTATTCTAATAGACAAATAATAGATGAATCTATAACAACTACATTGCCAACATTTATTCGTACTAGTGATACTTACTTTCATGAAAAAGAACTTCATGTAAATACAATGATTTCTTTATATGGGTTACCATCTTTGTTTATTACACTTACGATGGTAGAAAATCATTGGATACATTTACATAGAATTTAAAAGTAACAGACAATTATAATACTGTACCAACAAATAGACCTTTATATAGTACATTACATTTTATTCATCATTTATAATAACTTAGAAAACACATTTGGAAAAAACCTAAGCATTCAAAGTGAGGCGAAATTAAACATTTTTTTAAAAGAGTAGAATTTCAAAATCGTGGTGCAGCACATACACATGGTATATATTGGACTACAAAAACTATTGAACAAATGATTGCTGAGAATCTTATAAGATCTGATTTACCAGATCCAATTACTGAACCAGATTTATATGCAAAAGTAATGGCAAATCAAATTCATACATGTAATCTAAAATGTGGAGGTCCAGC